TTGTAAAGCATAGGATCACTCTCAGCCTCGGGACTCGACCCCTTTCTTTCAAACCTTGAACTTGGATTTAGAATGTTCAATGGTCAACCACAAAAGAGGCCCGCTAGGCCAGATTTGAAGCAGCCCATGAACTAGGGGCAATAAGATCGTATGACATCCAAGGAGGCCCACCAGGCCAGATTTGAAGCAGCCCTCGAACTAGGGGCAAGAAGGTTAGATAGATCAAAGGAAGCTTGTAAAGCTAGATCAGACGTAGCCCTTGAACTAGGGGCAAAAATGTCAGATGTGCTCAAAGATTCAAAAGATGGATCATTTTGCAAAACAATGAAGATTGGAAAGAAAGCCAAATTCCAGCAGCTGGAAGAGAATTTATTGCTGAAGGACAATCAAGTTCCTATCCACAACACTAGGGGTAACTTCAGCCCCCATTGGATGGACTCCTACATCATCAGTGAACAACGGCCATTCTACTGGATTCAGATGGCTTCGAGATCCTATGGCCAATCAACATGGACCAGTTACACTTTTTCTATCCTTGAGAGGCTCACTGGGCTGAAAACCTAGAAGGGTGACCCAGGCAAAAATTAGAGTAAGAAAAAGAGAAAAGAAATGAGAAAAAGAAAATGAAAAATGAAAAGAAAAGATGAAAAGAAATTAAAAGAAAAGAAAAACAGAGCTTGCAAGGTTGAAAACCCATAAGGGCGGCATTGGCAAAAGTTAGAGCACAAAAGGAGAGTTTCAACACCCACGTGAACCCTAACCCGGAACTACGTACGGCCTGATTCCCATGTTTGGGATACGTAGGCACCTTCATCCTAAAGTTCGGCCTCAATCATTTTTAGCCTGCTTGGCTCATCCATGTTGATTGGTTTATCCTTCTTCAAACTCGGCTATCTCATCCATGTGCGAATTGGCTTGTCTTCGTTCAAATTCAGACTGTCCTATTCCGTTAAGAAGATTCAGCTGCTTCAAAACTCAGATCTAAGGTTGTGCATCTCGAGAGTAGATTCCGTGTTGGTCGAGAAGTGGCCATTTGCAAAAACAGTTTTGAGAATTTTTACTGAGGTTGACTAATTCTCTCAAAAATTATTCTATTTTTCCAAAACTGGACCATTTCTTGGACCCAAAAAAGGAAACTTTTCAGTGCTCACAACCTGACTTGCATGATTTCAAATTAGAAAATCGAACAAGTATGTTAATCTAACTCTCATATTGGTCAAAATTGTTTTAGCAGGAAGCCAAAAACAAAAAATGGTCAAAATGATGAACTAGGGGCATAGTTGAGTCAAGTTTTCTGTCTGTTCCCCCATTATCAACATACTTGCCAAAAAGGGCACCATACTTGCTGAAAGTGCACCGTATTCGCTAGAAAGGGCACAACAGAAGCTAACAGCAAAGGGCTGAAAGCTCTCTCCACCTCCAAGCAGCGAGGTATCAAGCCAAGTGCGAAACACAAACTGGAAATGGAGGGGGATATTCGAATCCCTCATCCGGACGATCACACCCAAATTAGCATCTGCCCGGAATGAGGGCGTAGAAAATGCAATGTGTAAGACCAATCAATTGTATACCTAGCTGGCAGGACACGCTGCAATTCATCTCGGTCAAGCTAAGCCAAAGGTATCGTCAACCAATGTCATTTGCAGATCTGCTGCACACCTAGCTGTAGCGCAACCCCTCTATGAGAGAAGCTCACTGTTGTGAGCGAAAGAATGAGAATCTAGTAGAATACTAGGGGCAAGAGCCCACAACTTCCTGTTTATCCATCAACCACCCAAGGAAGGGGAAAAAAAAGAAGAGAGATTGAAGAATAGAGAGACGTGCACTGAGAGAAAAAGTGAGGAAAATGGCTTTTTCAGAAAATAAGAGATTGAGTGCCGGAGTGATGTGAGGATCACAAACAAGAAAGGGTGGGAAACAATACCCGAAGAAACTGGCTCCCCGTTAACTGAGAGGTCTCTCACCTTTGGAACACATCTGAGTGTCGTGTTTGTTGTTTTGTTTGTCTCGATTCTTGCTTTGAGTCGTTTCATGTGTCAATAGATGTGTTTGTGTTGCTTTTACCTTGTTTCTCCGTTTGTTGAGTCGTGGTGCGTTGTGTTCAGTCGTAGGCGCAATACCCGGTTAAAAACTCATTTTTTTCAATTTCAAAAATAAATCGTTTTGTGCTCAAAGTGTTGTGCCGTTCTCCGCATATGTGCAAAATAGGATTTCTTTCGTTCATAAAACTACAGGGTTTAACCCAGTTCATGTGAGAACAGTCACTACAACAAAAAACACATTTGGCGACCCAAAAATTTGTTGCCAAAAGTACAAATTCCGTCGCCAAAAGAATCGGCGACAAATATACAACTTGTCGCCAAATGGCTGTCCCTAAAAGTATTGGCGACGAAATCAGAAATTGTCACCGTAGGTAGACATTTAGCGACAAGCAAAATTGGTCGCCAAAAATCATATATTTTGTCGCTATAAAATTACAATTTGTTGCTAAAGGTTAAAATTTGGATAGGCTATGTAGTTTTAGCAACAAATAAATGCGTCGCCAAAAGTACTATTTAACAACAAAATTAATTTGGTCGCTATAAATCACGTTTTTAGTGACGAGTAAGTTTTGGTTGCTAAAAGTTCTTGGAATAACCACTAAATTTTAGCGACAAAAACAATATGTTGTCGCCAAATATATTACCAGCGACCAAAATACCACCTGTCACTAAAAATTCAGTACACAAATTTTGATTTTAATAATTTTCTTGTTCAAAATAATCCAAAACACCTGTTTTCCTGTGCACAATATATACACAAATGTAATGTAAATAATAATACACCTGTGCAAGACATTCATACTAATTCAAAATTAATAGCTATGAAAAATCCCAATAAACATAATTACAATTCTCTGACAATCTAAAACATGCATACCAAAGCACTGACAAACTACTAACATCAAACCCATAAATACATTACCAAATCCTATGTCAAAATATTTTCAAAATTACAACCAAATATTTTGATGTAAAACATCTAACCAACAAGTCATTTACTAAAATCCTGTGTCAAAATATTTGCAAAAACACAACACCAAATATTTTGATGCTAAACATTTAATCCATAAATCATTTACCAAAATCCTATGTCAAAATATTTCCAAAAACACAAAATCAAATCTTTTGATGTAGCCCAAACTATTTTCCACCATTGCCAATCTGTCACATGAAAAAAGAAAAAACAATATTAGATTGACAAAAAAAAAAAAAAAACCTCAATATGAACTTCACAATTTTGATTTTAATTTTGTAACGGGAAGTCCAATCGGGTGCTGTTTGCTCATACAACTCTATTTAGGCTTGAACAAGCTACCCGTGCCAAGTTTCGGTGGTTTCAGTGGTCATTTTGCATTTTTTCTTCTAATTTTCTAACCGAAAATCCAATCGAGGTCCTGTTTGTTCCTACAAATCTATTTAGGTTTGAACAAGCTGTCCGTGCCAAGTTTTGGTGGTTTCGGTTGTCATTTTGCAATTTCGGCTCCTGAACGAGCCTTTTAAGTCTTGTGTATTAAAATTTTCCTTCTAATTTTCTAACCGGAGATCCCATAGAGGTCCCGTTTGTTCCTACAAGTCTATTTAGGTTTGAAAAGGCTGTCCATGCCAGGTTTTGGTGGTTTCGGTGGTCATTTTGAAATTTCGGCCCCCGAATGGGCCTTTTAAGTCTTGTGTTTTACATTTTTCTTTCTAATTTTTTAACTGGAAATCCAATCGAGGTCCCATTTGTTCCTACAAGTCTATTTAGGCTTGAACAAGCTGTTTGTGCCAAGTTTCGATGGTTTCGGTGGTCATTTCGCAATTTCAGCCCCCAAATGGGCCTTTTAAGTCTTGTGTTTTACAATTTTCCTTCTAATTTTCTAACCGGAGATCCAATTGAGGTCCCGTTTGTTCTTACAAGTCTACTTAGGCTTGAACAAGTTGTCCGTGCCAAGTTTCAGTGGTTTCGGTAGTCATTTCGAAATTTCGGCCCCCAAACGGGCCTTTTAAGTCTTGTGTTTTACATTTTTCCTTCTAATTTTTTAACCGGAAATCCGATCAAGGTCCCATTTGTTCCAACAAGTCTATTTAGGCTTGAAAAATCCGTCCATGCCAAGTTTTGGTGGTTCCGGTGGTCATTTCGCAATTTTGGCCCCTAAACGGGCCTTTTAAGTCTTGTGTTTTACAATTTTCCTTCTAATTTTCTAACCGGAGATCCAATCGAGGTCCCGTTTGTTCCTACAAGTCTATTTAGGCTTGAACAAGCTGTTCGTGCCAAGTTTCAGTGGTTTCAGTAGTCATTTCGCAATTTCGGCCCCCGAACGGGCCTTTTAAGTCTTGTATTTTACAATTTTCCTTCCAATTTTCTAACCGGAGATCCAATCGAGGTCCCGTTTGTTCCTAAAAGTCTATTTAGGCTTAAACAAGCTGTCCGTGCCAAGTTTCGGTGGTTTCGGTGGTCATTTCACAATTTCGGCCCCGAACAGGCCTTTTAAGTCTTATGTTTTACAATTTTCCTTCTAATTTTGTAACCAGAGATCCAATAGAGGTCCCATTTTTTCCTGCAAGTCTATTTAGGCTTGAACAAGCTATCCGTGCCAAGTTTTGGTGGTTTCGGTGGTCATTTCATAATTTCGGCCCCCTAATTTTCTAACCGGAGATCCAATCAAGGTCCTGTTTGTTTAACACAACCAGACATATTAAATGAAATGCTTGTAGTGATTTGAAAAGTAAATTATGAAAAATATACTTACAAAAGTGTTTGTCAGTAAGATTCCTCTGATGAATAATCATTTTCATCAACCTGCATGCCTGCTTGATCCTTGGTCATCCTCATAAACTTCTCAATCTCTTCAAATCTTTTGTTTTGCATTTCAATCATTTTAGCTTGCTCTTGTGCTACCAGGTTTTGGGCTGCAATTTGTTCTTGCTGGACCTTGGACAAATTCTTCAAAAACTTAAAATATATGTAAGTCAAATAAAAAGAGCAAATATTCACTCACCTTGCAACCTTAGCCCGTCTCTTGGCTTGCTCTGCAATTTCTGAAAGCTCCCTATAATTGCTCTTGTCAGAGAAAAGGTTAGTGGTTTCCAGTGGTTGAAGGCCATGTAGAGTCCTCTGTGCAGTAGCCCACTGTGCTTCTCTCTCCTCTTTCCCATAGTTAGTCTTTGTAGTAAAAGCAGTCTTTACAAGAGAAGAAAAAAAATAAGTACCAGAACCAAAGAGTCAGAAAACCACAAGAAAACTACAAAAATTCAAAAAAAAATCATATACTAAAAAATTCCCCTTTATTAGAGAATTTGAATTCTACCTTGTTTTCCAAAAGGGTATCCCAAGCTTTCCCACTTAAAGCGTAGCGGATCGCAAATTTGAGTAAGTGAAGCGGAATATATGTTACCACACTGTAAAGCCAGATGACATCGGCCCAGCCCCAACCACATCCTTCTATCTTTGCAAAACTCCATTTAGCATAAACAGCTATCAAGGTGGCAATCTGTCAAATTACAGAATAGTTTACATCTCCACTAGAACAAGCCTATCCAATTCAATTCCCAAATTCATCAGATAAGTTCAGGATTTTTCATATAGTACTTTGTTTTTTTGTATTTCATTTAAATATGTTTTTATTTTTAAAATTTTATTTTGTAAACTAACTCCATTACTATGATATCAAGCACATTCCGATAGAGATATTTGTCTTTGCACATGAATATTAGTAGGTTATTGGGAAATTCATACCAGCTGTGCAGCTACAAAACCAAAGAGTAAGAGTAGTCCAGGGCGTTCAGCAAAGGACCAGCTGCGAGACCTTGTAACAAATATGAGAGCCTGACTCACGATACTCACTTGTAGGTATAATGCAGCCATCATCTGTTGAGGCCTCGTCTCTCCCAATGGTCTCACACCAAATTTTTCCTACATTGTTTAACAAAGTAGGTAAATAAATTGAATCTATAATATAAATAAAAAATCAAATCTATTGGGGGGAAAAAAAAAAGAAACAAAGAAAAGATTCCATTACAGCTTCAGAACTTGTTATATTTGCTATTGAAATAAGGGTCATGTTAATGTGTGTACTTAGGCCACATGCTAACAAAGTCGTTCAAATAATTAGGTATTCTGGATTTATTTAAGACAACAATTTGAAGAAAGCGACATATTTTGGAGAAATGAGAGAATAACATGTATTGTTAACATTGATTTGTTCTGGATCAATGTTGAAATTGAAAAAAAAATCAAAAAGAAAAGGTCAAAAGTTCAATCAACATAGAGGATATTTGAAAACAGTTGAGGATGCTAATAAAAAAACTCAGTATAATTTGGTGTAGTTTTTCAAACTACGGAAAATAATGGTTCCAAAAGAACACTTCCCACGATCATGAATCAGGAAAAGTGTGTTTCATATCCTTAGACAAATTGGGAACAAAGACAGAGAGAACCACTTGGAAATACTCCAGCAAATCCATAAGCCTTCTCAATCAACTCATCGACAGGGAGGGCCGCAACTGACGCATCCTTGTCTTGGCCAAGCAATGCAGAAGATGGATACATATTTGTTCCCATTCCCAGCCGCCGACCAGTTTCCTTGCCAATTGCAAGCTGATCACCTAACAAGGTTGGACCCAAAAAAAAAAATAATAAGCAATGAAAAATCAGTGAAGACAATAGTGTATGCACGGTATTATTACCAGTAATCATCTTTACATTCACTCCAAGATTGAGAGCTCTTTTGATGGTGTCTGCACTATCATGCCTAGGTGGATCAAATAAAGGCAATAAACCAACAAACTGCTACGGTGCCCCTGGACTATCTTTTGTCTTCTCAGGTACTTCCTGCAAATAAATAATATAAGCCAAATTTAACAATTAAGATTGTTCCAATGAATCAGAAAAATTAAAAATGTGAGTCTGCAAACCTGTCTAGCAACTGCTAAAGATCGAAGTCCATGTTCAGCAAACTTTTCAATCACAGAGTGAACCTTCTTTCTGACATCCTCTTTGCAGTTGCAAAGGGCTAATATCTATTTGTTAAGAATAAGAAACAAGAAGTAAGTTACTACTTGTGATGGTTCTAGATGTTTTTTTTCGCTTCATTTTAACATAACAAAAAAGTAAAATGAGGGTACCAGCTCAGGAGCACCTTTGCTGGCTCGATGCCAATTTCCACTAGCATCGATGTAAGTCAGAGTTGTCCTCTTGTCCACTGGATTGAATGGAAGAAAATGAACCTCCCTAATACCAGCTCGTGCCTGCCTAGAGTATTCAAAAAATGAAGGGAGAAAAAAAAAATAATTAATTAAAAAATGCCAAAAAAAGAAAAGGAAAATAAAAGAAATAAAGAAATACTTTGTGAAATTTATACCTCCTTAGGGTCAGCCAGCATTCCAACAATGGCAGCATTAATTGCATCCTTATTTTTAGTGCTTGAAGCCCTTGTAGCGAGCAGAATCACTAGGTCTCTGTCGACACCCTTTGCAAACACCTCAATGAGGTTTCTGTCAGCTGTTAGCTTGTTTAGAGTAAGTGGCCCGGTCTTATCACTGCAGAGAACATCCATTCCTGCCATTTCCTCAATAGCAGTCATTCTCTTGGTGATGGCACCCTGTTGAGAAAGCCTGTGGGAACCAATAGCCATGGTGACAGACAAAACAGTTGGCATAGCAATTGGAATTCCTCCAATCAAGAGAACCAGTAAATTGTCAATTCCTTCCCTGTACTTGCGATGCTGTATCGGGTACCTGACTATAAGCTCAGCAAGAATCCCAACAAAAATTGAGCAAATGCAGAAGTTACCGATAGCAGTGAGGACTTTTTGAAAGACTAGAACAGATTAAACTTCACTATCAAAATGGAACAGATCAGCAGTAGCTCACATGAAATGAATGTTATATGATGAAATTATTAAAAGGGTCACTGATACACAAAATATCTATAATCTTATTAGGAGCTTTAGAATAGAGGGTTGGTCGGATTAATTTGTCCAATTCATATCAAATTTAACCCCAAAGACTAAAACTTGCACATTTGAGTTATTTTAAATGCCCAACTCATTTTAACCCATCAGAACTCATACATTAGAACCTCTAATCTGTCAAACTTGCTAATTTCAAATTACACACTTCATCTTACCAATGCTTTTGTGATGTTCACATAGAAAATGAACTAATAAACTAATAATGAGGAATGAGCTGATAAAAAAAGGCATGCCCTTGAATACCAAGTTAATTCCTTCATCATAAAAGATAAAACAATGAAAAAAACACATGGAACAAGAGCAAATCATGTCCATCAATCACACAATAATCATAGAAAATAGAAATTTGTACAAAGTTTTAACAGACTTTGGCATTAAAAAGTCTTTTAGAAACTAAAAATTATGGAAAATTTTAAATCAAGATGCACACAGTTTTTTTTTTTTTTTGAACAAAGATGCACACAGTTTGACTATCAAGATTTTGCCACATAATATGCAGGACAATTTCTTTTGCTTCCCCTACAAGAAGAGGCTTAAATACAAATGGAAAGTCTTTTTCAATTCTTTTGTTTTCTATGTCATACTACTTTTTTTATTCCAACAGATATATCCATGAAGATTGCAAGCAGTCAAGGTCAAACTTTGAACAGACTCACAAGGCTTATCACATAGTATGCAAATCCTACAATGAGCTTGGGAGAGGCCTTGATGCTATCACCATATCAAGAAGTCCAAATGCAAAATAGAAAACTGGGTAGCTGATAAAAATGTCAATTGTAGTCCAATGAAACAACAAGTAAAGGCACCGAATATATATTCAGTTCAAAACAATGAAAACAGACTGGAATATAATAGAATACAACAAAGGAAACTCATTCTAAGCTTTTACAGAGACTACAAAAAAATAACAACAATTTCAGATTCAGACAACACTCATTCTAACAGCAAAAAAATAACAGCAATTTCAGATTCAGACTACACAGCAAAAAAATAAGCTTTTACACAGACTACACTCATTCTAACAGTAATTTCAGGTTAAATGGTGGGAAAAGGAAACTCAACTCTGACTAGGAAACTCAACTCAACTCTCAATCCTATCCTTCTACACATTCAGATTCAGAACCTGAAACTATTATACCCTCCTAAACCAGATGATCCATACCCAAAATTATAATATCAGTCCCCAAAAAATACAAAATCAGTCTGAAATTCAGAATATACCAGTCCCGAAAATCAATTCCAAAATCAATCCAAAAATTAGAATATATCAATCCGAAAATCACAATATCAGTCTGAAAAATCAGAATACCAGTCCAAAAAATTAGATTGATGACAAAGAAGGAGGAAGATGAGAGAGTGTGAGGGAAAAATCAGTCCCATTGATTGTGTTGTGTTCTGCAATGCCGAACATGAGAATGAAATTGATGATAAAGAAGAAAGAGAGGAAGATGAGACAGTGTGAGAGAGTGAGAGTGAGAGTGAGAGGGAGAAGGAGAGGGAGAGGAAGTGGGAAAGAGAGACGAAGAAGAGGGAGAGAAGACATACCTCTTTGTCTTCTGTTGTGCAGCTTCAGGTTGTGGAATGAGAAGACGAAGAAGACTCATTTTAGGTCAATCTTGTTTATTCGGTCATTAAAAAAAAAAAAAAAGACAGATTCAAAACGACGTCGTTTTGACAAGAAATTTATTGGCGACGAAAATCATTATGTTGCCATAAATATCATTCACCTTTCAGCGACTATTTTAATTCCGTCGCCAAAAAGTCCAAATTGGCGACAAACATTTTCGTCGCCATATATTAATTTCGTCGCCAAAACTTTTTTAGCGCTCCCGCGCAAAAAATTAAATTGGCGCCAACCATTTTTGGCGACAAATTGAGATATTTGTTGCTAATGGTGTATTTTTTGGCGACCAACACGTATATTGTCGTCAAAAACATACAATTGGCAACTAAATTCAATTTGGTTGCTAAAAAACGTCGCCAAAAATACTTTTTGTTGTAGTGAGTAAAACAAGGACCTATTTGAAGCTACATAGGTTCCAGACTGCAAAGTAAAAGAAAAGAGCAAAAATATGGAGCATCTTAGTGTGTTTCGACTTCAGCAAATTTTGAGATTGCATTCCGGATATACCTCATTGGGCCTTGTCAATGCTCCGATGTATGAGTGTGCCTCTACCTCAAGCTCAAGATCAAGTCTACTTCAAGCCAGAATGGCGATCAGAAGTGCTATCCCTGAAACACCATTTCCTGCCAAGGGCATCTTGGTTGTGTTTTGCAATGAGTTCTTAGGAGACCAACTGCGACGGTGGAAACTAGATTTCGAATGGCCGATGCCTAGAATGCAAAGGTTCGGGATTTCTGAGACTAAAGTCTGGTTTAAATACCCAGGGATGTGTCCCCGGCTTGAAATCTGTATGGAAGCCCCATATGTTGAGGTAGCGTGTACGCGCCTCAATTATGGATACTGAACCAACCTAGTCTGTCACCCCGTTGGAGAATAGGGAAAGTTGTGAATATGATCGGGAAGAAAAGCGGCATCCGTGGCTTCTACACGTAGAGGTTACCCCTTGTCAGCATTTCAGAACCTTTGAACTATGACTTGAAGGTAAGTGTTCGAAGAACACAAGATAAGAGTTCGAAGAACGAAGGGGAGATCCCCGTCAGAGCAGAGTGGTTCATCGCCACTCACCCCATGAGGTGCTTTTCAAATCACCGCTTTGTTTGTTTATTGCATTCCCTAAATATCATACACTACATTGCTTGTAACGTATATCATATCATCGCACTTATTGCATTTGTTTGCATATGGTGTTATCTTGTATCATTTATCTTTTCACGCTGTGCAGCGTTTAGGATCGTTATTCCCCAGGGCTTTCTCAGGTTGCGTCGAGCGCGCTTCTGATTGCTTGTTTTTAGTCCTCTTCCCACGAGTTCAACGTGGTTAGAGTGTGCCCTTCCTCACACGATTTCGGCGTGTTTGGAATTTATCTCAGATCGCGTGGAACACGCTCCTGATTGCTTTTCAGACCTCTTCTCATGATTTCAGCGTGGTTAGAGTGTTCTTTTCCTCACATGATTTCAGCATGTTT